CTGCTGACCCTGAGGTTAGCAGCCTGATTCATAACCACTATGCTACTAGAGCCACCACTGAGTAGGTTCAAACAACCAACCTTTCAGTTAAATAGGACTCCTTCCAGCTAGTAGTCTAATACTTATCTGTTTGTGCCACTCAGGGACCCAAAGCAGTGTACTAGACACAAACCTTATCACATTTAAACCTCAAAATAACTCTGAGGTTGGAGTTACCAGCTGTCTTTTATAGATGAGAAACCGATGCTTCGGATAATTTAGCAATTTATTGAAGGTCAAACAGTCAGTAAATGAAGTCATAATTCAAACCCAGCTCATATGTTGTTGTTAAGTGTTGTTGAGTCGGTTCCTACTCATAGTGGCCCAGTATAGGGTTTCCGAAGAGTAGCTGGTAGGTCTGAACTGTCAACTTTGTGGTTCACAGTCCAGTGCTGATACACAAGTCCATAGGAACTTTGAAAAAGAAACCACTAGCTTTGACTGGGATGTGTCTGGAAAGACTTTACTGAGGTGATTTTATAGAACAGCAAGTGGAACAAGTGGTTCCCAAGTGCCTACTATTTTTATCATACTGATTCCGGTCATGCCCCTGTGAAATTGTAGTATTTTCTTCATTTTACAAGTGAAATAGGTTTAGTATGTCAGGTGATAATTGTGGGTATCACTCCCACTAAATCATGTTTGATGTGGTCCATGAGGCAAAACAGCATGGACAACCTCCTCTTCACATCCATTTTATACAACACTTGAAAGTTTCTGAACTACTTTACACAACCTTGTCCTGTGAGAAAGGAAAGATGGTGATTACAATCTATATCTGATGACAAAACAAGGGAGACACAGAGTAGAAATGCTGACTCCTTTCCCTTCAGTCTTGCTGTTATGGATTGAATTCCATCCCTCAAGATATGTGTTGTAAATCCCAATCCCTGTTTTTGTGGTTGGACTCCTGGTGTGGTGCTGTAGGATCAGCACTGGACTGCAAATCACAAGATCGATAGTTCAAACCCACCAGCTGCTCCTCGGAAACCCTATACAGGGTTGCTATGAGTCAAAACTGACTCTACAGCACTTAACAACAACAATTATTGTGGTTATAATCCTATTTGGAAATGGGCTTTCTTTGTTATGCTAATGAGACTCATTTGATGTAGGTAGGGTGTGTTATAAGATTAAAAAGAGCAGATTAGGCACACAAAAAAAGTAAACAGAGATAGGGGAAGATAGATACCATGCCACATGAAGATCCCAGGAAGCCAAGGAACAGAAACTAAAAAGATAAAAACCTTCCCCCAGAGGTGACAGAACTTTTTAAAGTGTTGAAGAGCAAAAGAGAGAAAGCCTTCCCCTACATCCAGAGTCCTGAGTTTGGATTTCTAGCCTAAATGGTGAGAAAGTAAATTTCTGTTTGTTAAAGCCATCTGCTTGTGGTATTTCAGTTATAGCAGCACAAGGTAACCACATTTCCTCAGGAGAAACATGAGGCTGTCTTCTCCTGTAAAGATTTACAGTCTCAGAAGCCCTCGGGAGCAGTTCTACTCTGTCCTGAATCAGAATCAATTTGACATTAGTGGGTTTTGGGTGGGTAAGTAACTAAGACACTGCCCCATGGTCCAGATCCCAATCCCTTGTACTTTGGTTAGTAATCTTCCACACAGCCTTCCCTCAAGGAATATCATCTGTAACGTCTTCCTGGATAACTCCCCACCTTTGAAAGATGCTTCCTTGTCTGAGATTTCTCTATGCTTTTGTATTTTGTAATTATTTGTGTAAATGTCTGACTCCCCTAATGGGCCGCTATGGTACAAAGTTGTATTAATCATCTCTGTGGCCTCAGTATTTTGGACAGTGAGCTCTTTTATTAGTTGTTGTTGTTAGGTGCCATCTACTCATAGCGACCTTGTGCCTAGTCCTTCACCATCCTCACAATTGTTATATTTGAGTCCACTGTTGCTGCCACCATGTCAATCCATCTCATTCTTTTTCACTGACCCTCCACTTTACTAATCATGATGTCCTTCTTCAGGGACTGATCCCATCTGACATGTCCAAAGTACAAGAGACAAAATCTTGCCATCTTGGCTTCTAAGGAAGTTTCTTGCTGTAGTGCTTCTGAGGCAGGGAGAAAAGGGGTCCAGAAATCAGGATTAAACATGAGCCACTTATTGACTGAAGTTTGTGACTTAAACCTTAAGGAATGTTAAGGCCTGTTTGCTTGAGCAATTGTAAAGATGTGCAGGATATGTTCAGGGTGAATAGTTGAGCAGCCCCATCCTGGGACATGCCATTAAGAAAGGCCATCAATAAAAATTCTGTACTTGACTCCCTTGTAAGATGGGACATGCCATTAAGGAAGACCATCTATAAAAATGTATGTTACTTCCTTGTAAGAGGTTTAACAGACTAGACTGATTTTCCTAGTGTCCTAGGCATAACTTTAAAGGACTATCTTCTGCTGGGGCAGAGGAGAACACCAGCCCCTAGGAAAGGTTTGAACCAAGGTCCCGAAGAACTATGCATGATTGACATCCCAAAATAATTTTGTGTCTGCTTCTACCAGAGGCCTTTACGATGGAATCCATCTTGAAGAAATGCTGCCTGAATACACACACAATTGGACTGTTATGTGCCGTTGAGTCAGTTCCAACTCATAGCGACCCTGTATAGGGTTTCCAAGGAGCAACTGGTGAGTTTGAACCACCGACCTTATGGTTGAAATAGAACTTGTGGTCCAGTACTTTATCCCACAGTGGCACACCACGGCTCCTTCCTAAATAGGCCACTTCCCAGAAATCCCTGCTTACCTCCTATGAATAAATACGATGCCTTTCCCCAACTAAAACCTTTTAAACTCCAGCAAAGCTTTGTTCCAGGAGGTGAGGGCTAGCGTTGCCTAAGGGTCCTCCTCTTCTCTGGCCAGATCTTTTCCTCTCAATAAGTCTTTAAATATTTTGCTCCTGTAAAACTCTTGTCTGTTTAACTTGATCATTCTTAGAATGTTGAAGGGACGGGGCCCCATACACCCTGATAACACTTCCAAGATAGATTTGTGTTTTCTTCTGGCAGTTCATGGTATTTTCAATATTTTTCACCAACACCATAATTCAAATGCATAGGTTCTTCTACAGTCTTCCTTATTCATTGTCCAACTTTCACATGTCCAACTTTTTTCATGCTGTTGTTAAGTGTCATCAAGTTGGTTCCGATCCATAGTGACCCTGTATAGGGTTTCCAAGGAGCAGCTGGTGAGCTTGACCTTATGGTTAGCAGTCCAGTGCAGTGCTTATCGTACAGCACCACACCAGGACTCTTCACATGCATATGAGGCAATTGAAAATACCATGACTTGCGTCAGGCACACCTTGGTCCTCAAACTGACATGTTTGCTCTTTAATACTTTATAAAGAAAACAAAAATCCTCACCACTGGACCAATAAACAGCATTCTTCTCAATGGAGAAGAGATTGAGGTTGTCAAGGACTTCATTCTTCTTGGATCAACTATCAACACTCGCGGAAGCAGCAGTCAAGAGATCAGACGACGTATTGCATTGGGCAAATCTGCTGCACAGGGACTTTTTAAAGTATTGAAGAGCAGAGATGTCAGCTTGAGGACTAAGGTGTGCCTGACCCAAGCCATGTTATTTTCAATAACCTCATATGGATGTGAAAGCTAGACAGTGAATAAGGAAGATCGTAGAAGAACTGATGCCTTTGAGTTGTGGTGTTGGAGGAGAATACTGGAAGTGCCATGGACTGCCAAAAGAACCAATAGATCTTTTTTGGAAGAAGTGCAACCAGAGTGCCCCTTGGAGGCCAAGATGGCTAGGCTTCGTCTCTCATACTTTGGACACATTGTCCGGAGAGAACAGTCGCTGGAGAAGGATGTCATGCTGGGTAAGGTGGAGGGTCAGTGAAAAAGAAGAAGACCCCCAACAAGATGGATCAGCCAGGTGACATCATTGATGGCGTCAAGTGTGGTGGCGGTAGTGAGGTTGGCCCAGGATCAGACATTGTTTCGTTCTGCTGTGCATGGGGTCTCTATGAGTCGGTTCCGACTCGATGGCACCTGACAACAACAACAACAAAGAGGTTGTTTGCAGCAGATTTATCTAATGCAATTTATTAGTTTTGTTAAATGCTGTCAACTCAGTTCTGACTCATAGGATCCCTGTATAGGGTTTTCAAGGAGCTGGTGGGTTTGAACTGCCAACCTTGTGGTTAGCAGTCCAGTCCTGATCCTACAGCACCACACCCCTAAAAAGTTTTTCTTCCCAAGAAGCCAATGCGCCTGCTGGGTTCCCTATCCTTGAGGATTCAGGAATATCTATCCAAGCCTCCACTTAATCTTGTTCCTAGTGTATTCTTGAAGTTGCCATCCACACTGTCTTCCAGAGTTCCACAGGGCACTGGAGGATCAGCACTGGACTGCGAACTACAAGGTCAGTAGTTCAAACTCACCAGCTGTTCCTTGGAAACCCTATGAGTCGGAACCTACTCGATGGCACTTAATAACAATAACAATAGTTGACATCAGAATATGTGGGTTAAACATGTACAAAGGGTTAAATATGCGCAGCTGCTTACCAAAAGGTAGAAGGTTCAGAGTACATCCAGAAGCAGCACCTGGGAAGAAAAGCCTAGCAATCTGCTTCTGAAAAATTAGCCATTGGAAAATCCTGTGGAGCACATTAATACACAGGGACACATACAGGGTCACCATGAGTCAGAGTCAACTTACAGCAATTATAATCACCATCAACCAGAAGGAAGTCAATTGCCCTTTACAAATATGGCTGCAACTGTCTCACTTCCTGTATCATGTGACACGCCTGTAGTCATCACATGACCCACCCACTCCATAATGCCGGAATTAACCTACAGGGCTAATCTCGGTTTGATAGATATTGTAGGTACCTGCGTCCCTGGTTGGTTGGTTGTTGTTTTTGAGTGGATCCTCTATCTCTCTGAGGCTCTGGAACCTCCCCATCCGGTGAGCCTGAAGAGATGGAAATTTTAAATCCTTCCAGAGAGGTGAGTAGATCCAGGGTCCCAACAGCTTATCATATTGCTTCTGGAATCCTAGCTACCCAGGATCTGGAATTCAATAAATGAGGACAGACTCTCTTCAAACTCGGCCATCCTGTCATTTTGAGCCAGGGCAGATGGAGGGAAGGTGAGGTGGCAGGAGAAATGGATGGGCAGAGGAGGTAGAGCAGGGCCCTGGCTGGTTGGGCAGTTACCTGTCACTAGTAGAGGTGAGGTAGGGGTTGGAGGGCTGCACCCAGATGTCTGTAGACCTTGCCCCATCCCTAGTAAAGGTGGGAGATTAGATGGTGGGCACCCATAGGCAGCCAAATCCTGCCCAGGAAAGGCCCTGAGGGGGCACAGGGGCTTGCCTTCTAGTCACTCCTCATTCTGTTCTCAGGAATGTCCCAAGCACCTGGGCAGGATAGGCATCATGGCTGTTAGCCTCATGGGTTTGCTTCTACTTCAGGCAATATCGTGGGCCTCAGGTAGGTGATTCAGGGAGGGAGGTAATGCTAATACTCCCTTTTTCCTTATAGTCTTGTAGTTTTCTGGCATACTTGTGGTGGACTATAGTAGGTGCTCAGTAAGTTTTTTTGAATGACCGAGACCAATCTTGGGGTTGGAGGGTACAGTGAGAGGATTTTTTGTTTTCTTTTATTTAAATGTTTTATTGTGAATTATGTGATAGTTTACATGGGGGAACATTAGCTTTACATTCATTCTATCATATATGTAGATCATTTCATTGCCATGGTTACAATCCCCTCCATGCATCATCAACCAACCAAAGTGTATATCCTGCAAGCCTCCCCTCTTCCTCAGTGAGAGGATTTTTGAAACTTCTATCAGTTGTCTCTCATTCCAAGCTCTGTGCCCCTTCTTCCAGACCTGTCTTCAGTCCTTACCTCTGCTTGTGCTTTCCCTGCCAGGTGCTTGCCCCTGCGTGCCTCAAAGCTTTGGTTACAGCTCAGTGGTCTGTGTCTGCAATGCCACCTACTGTGACTCTCTTGACCCTGTGACACTTCCTGACCTTGGCAACTTCAGCCTCTATGAGAGCACACGTAGTGGACGTCGGATGGAGTTGAGTATGGGGGCCATCCAGACCAGCCATACAGGCACAGGTAACCACCACACCCCTCACTCTTGAGCCAGGCAGAGACCTTCTTGGAATTCATGTCAGGGATCACCATGGAGTTGCTCACCCTTTATTCCCTGTGGATGTCCTCAGGGCTGCTACTGACCTTGCAGCCGGAACAGAAGTTCCAGAAAGTGAAGGGATTTGGAGGGGCCATGACTGATGCTGCTGCTCTCAACATCCTTGCCCTGTCACCAGCGGTGCAGAATATGCTACTCAAATCTTACTTCTCTGAAGAAGGTGAGGAGGAGGAAGAGGACAAAATAACAGTGCAGTTGACCCCTTTCTTTGACCCTAATTTCTAACGATCCCTGATTTTGGAGTCCTGTCTTTGTGTGTGTGTGGTGGTGGTTGTGGGGAGGTTTTGTCTTATTGCCCAGCACTACCTATATAAGGAGCTCTGGTAGCGTAGTGGTTACGAATTGGCCTGCTATCCTCAGGGTCAGCAGTTCGAAACTACCAGCTGCTCCGCAGGAGAAAGATGAGGCTTTATGCTCCCGTAAAGATTTACAGCCTCAGAAACCCTGTACAGGGTCGGTATGAGTCAGAACCGACTCCATGGCACATACCACCATCACCTACGTATCTTGGAGTCCTGGTGTGGCGTTACAGACTAATGTGTCAGACTGCAAAGTTGTTTGAACTGCAAGGTCTGTGGTTCAAGCTCACCAGCTGCTCCTTGGAAACCCTACATACAGGGTCACTATGGATCAGAATCCACTCGACGGCACTTAAGAACAACACCTACCTATCTTATGTTAAGTGCTTGAGGACTCTGTGCTTCACCAGGTGCCTGGAGCCCAAGTTCCCTTGACACCTGCCTCAGACACTAAGACCAAGTAGTAAGCCAGGTACCTATATTTTCCAGTTGACTCAGACTGCCGTATCTTGGCCATCCTTTTCTGTAGGAATTGAATACAACATCATCCGGGTACCCATGGCCAGCTGTGACTTTTCTATCCGTATCTACACCTATGCCGACACCCCTGATGATTTCCAGTTGAACAACTTCAGTCTCCCAGAAGAAGATACCAAACTCAAGGTTGGCACTTTGACTACTTCGGACCTTGGTGGCATTGATACCAGAGGGTTGAGAAGCCTCAGGCTAAGGCAGTCTAGAGAGAGCCATACAATCTGGCCTCTGCTATTTTGTCCTGGGGGTGGGAGGGTGGGGACAGCTAGGCCTGATGCACTGGTTGGGCCAGTCTATGTTCCAAATCTGGGTGTCTCTCTCCTCTTTCTTTTTGTCTCTAGATACCCCTGATTCACCGGGCCCTGGCAATGACCCAACGTCCCATCTCACTCTTCGCCAGTCCCTGGACATCACCCACTTGGCTCAAGACCAATGGGGCAGTGAATGGGAAAGGGTCACTCAAGGGTCAGCCTGGGAACATTTACCACCAGACCTGGGCCAATTACTTTCTCAAGTAAGGGAGCAGCAAAGCTGTAGGATCTGGACCAGACTCCTCTTGGATACCCTCGACCCAACCCTCTACATCCCAGTCCATGACCTGGCTCCAGCTCCAGATTTGACTTTCCTCCACTCCTCAATTTTCTGGGCCTTTCACATCCAGTCCCCTTAGTTTTCCCATTCCCCAGGGCCTTTGGTTCCCTTTCTTGACTGGACTCATTCACACCCTTTCCCACTGCCAGGTTTTTGGATGCCTACGCTGAGCATAACTTACAGTTTTGGGCTGTGACTGCCGAGAATGAGCCTTCTGCAGGACTGTTTAGTGGGTACCCCTTCCAATGCCTGGGCTTCACTCCTGAACACCAGCGAGATTTCATTGCCCGTGATCTGGGTCCTTCCCTTGCCAATAGTACTCACCGTGATGTCCGCCTACTCATCCTGGATGACCAACGCCTGCTGCTGCCCCACTGGGCTCAGGTGGTAAGATCCAGGAACTCCATGGGTGCCTTAGTGACGTCGATCCAGATTCAAGTGAGCAGCACCCCCTAACTTAAGAGTGCTTTACCTACCAACTTAATTCCTAGAGCACCTGTGTCCAGGTGCTAGACCATCACCTTCTCTAGATCTTCAGCACCACTTCTACGGTTGTCTCTATAACTCCCTCTAGTTACATTCATCCTACCACCATTTTTTAGGCCCCCTAGTTTCTCTTCTAGGAGCTCTGGTAGCGCAGTGGTTACGAGTTGGGCTGCTAACCTCAAGGTCAGCAGTTCGAAACTACCAGCTGTTCCATGGGAGAAAGATGAGGCTTTTCTGCTCCCGTAAAGATTTACAGCCTCGGAAACCCTGTACAGGGCTGCTATGAGTTGGAACCAACTCCACGGCACACAACAACGTTTCTCTTCTAGGACCTGCTGTGTGGGGTCCAGTTCAGTGGCTCCCCTTTCCCAGTAGTCCTTTTCCCTTCCTGGTACAGGTGCTGTCAGATCCAGAAGCCGCTAAATATGTTCATGGCATCGCTGTGCACTGGTACCTGGATTTTCTGGCTCCAGCAAAAGCCACCCTGGGTGCGACACACCGCCTGTTCCCAGACACCATGTTGTTTGCCTCAGAGGCTTGTGTGGGTTCCAAGTTTTGGGAACAGAGTGTACGGCTGGGCTCCTGGGATCGCGGGATGCAGTACAGCCACAGCATCATCACGGTGAGCCACCTGAGCCCCTTTCCATATGCACATCAGCTCAGTCCTCTCTAGTCTGAGACTGACAGAAGACTCTCCTCTCCATCTTTTTCCCAGCTGGCATGCCCTCTGGAGCAAGTTTTGGGATACTAAGATTCTCTGGCTTTTCCTACAATCCTTTTTCCACATGCTTGGGGTCTCAGGCAGTTGCATCTTCACCTGCTTGAGCTCTCTCACCTTCTCTTGAGATGCTTCCATTCTCACACTCTCCACCTCCCTCCCTCCTTAGATATAAGTATCAGTGCCCCCCACAGGACTGAGTACCCATTTCCCTCATGTGACCCGTAATGACATGTCAAGACAGGGTAGAGCCTTTGTCTCTCTGCCCCATCTCTACCCTAGAATCTTCTCTACAACGTGGTTGGCTGGACTGACTGGAATCTCGCCTTGAACCCCGAAGGGGGACCCAACTGGGTACGCAACTTCGTTGACAGTCCCATCATTGTGGACATCACCAAGGACACGTTTTACAAGCAGCCCATGTTCTACCACCTTGGTCACTTTAGGTGAGTGGAGGGCAGACAAACCAGTTCCACACCAGGCCTGTCATCCCCTGGATTGGGCTTACATCGTTCCACAGGGAGCAGGAAGTTGCTTAGGGTGGGAACCTTGGGAAAGGCACACCCATCCCCTCTTGCACCATCTTGGCAGGAAGTGACTAGATGGCATTAGCAACATGGATGATCCCTGAATGCCTGGGGCTGGGCTGCAGAAGAGGTGCCCAGCAACATGGCTCAAGGCTTACAGATCTAGGGCAGAGCTTTCACAGGAGCCATGGGGCAAGGTGGGAGGGGTGTGACAGAAACTACTCTGAGGTCTAGAAGGGGCTGGCCAGGATCCCTGATGATGCCTGTCTCCACATCCAGCAAATTCATTCCTGAGGGCTCCCAGAGAGTGGGGCTGGTAGCCAGTGAGAAGAACGACTTGGACACGGTGGCATTAGTGCGTCCCGATGGCTCTGCAGTTATGGTGGTGCTAAACCGGTGAGTGCAGCAGCCAGGCCTGAGGGTGGGGCTGCAGCAGGGTGCTGGCCTTGGCGGGTCACATTCTCAGCTTCTCCTTCCCCGCCCCAGCTCTTCCAAGGATGTGCCTCTCACCATTGAGGACCCTGCCGTGGGTTTCCTGAAGACTACAGCACCTGGCTATTCCATCCACACCTACTTGTGGCGTCGCCAGTAATGGAGCAGATCCCTAAGCCAGCGCCTGGGTTTCGAATGGGCATTAAAAGGACAGAGTCAGTTTGCACGCTATTTGTGATTAAAAGGGCACAGCAGGGCCGGGGAGAGCTCACAGTGATGTAAGCCCACAAACAGTGGTTTGGGTGACTCACTTCCCTTGCGAGTTGGTGCCAGGGGCTGGAGGTCCCTAGACAGAGAACCAGGAAGCCCCAGTGGCCCCCTACTACCCTGATGTGAGTGTGTGCTGTATGCTGGTTGTCTGTGGAAACTGGGCCTGGGCCCAGGGTGAGCTCATTGTACAAACACAGGACTGGGGAGCAGACGGAGGTTAAGGAAAGGCAGAAGCTGGACCCCAAACTAGGCCTGCTTGTCTTTCCTGAAGATGCATACAGGACCCATACAGAGGCACAGTCAGCATCCAGAGAAGCATGAGAAGTCTGGCACAGTGGGCGGGCTCAGGCCCGCAGAAGGACCCCAAAAAGGCCAAATGGTAGCTCTGTTAAAGGAGAGAGTGTCTGGTCTCAGTCAGTGAGCAGGTTTATTCTGGGGAGTGGCACCCCATTTCTGGCTGTGCTAACAACAGAGAGAAATGTGGCCTTTGGAATGCATAAGAATAGAAAAGTCAGTCCTGGGAAATGGGGATAACTCATTCCTCTTCATCCTCCTCAGCCATGCTCAGGGCCCGGGTACCTGGGGCCCGGGCAGGTGTTGCCCGCTGAATGGAGACAATACCACTGAGCAAGGCGTAGCCTACCATGGCTGCCAGTCCTGCTAGCACAGACAGGATCTGGTTCCGGCGCGGGTATGGCTCCTCCTCAGTTTCTGGGGCTGTTGGTGTCGGACGTGGGGGTGGCACCTCAGCTGAGGGGCAAGGAAGAAAAGTAGGCAGGGGGGCTGGTTCCTGGATCCCTGCCCAGTCTCTCCAGGGCTGGCCTCCACCCATCCATATATCCCTTACCTCCTTCCCAGGGGAAGTACAGGCTGAGGATATGGCTGCAATAGGCACAGAGGTTGTGCAGACCCCGGAGGTGGGCCTGTAGCTTCCCACTGGGCAGCTTGGCCTGGAGCAGCAGGGCCAAGTAGCTAAAGACAAAGGCATCCAGGGAGGCGGGGCTGGAGCAAAGAGAGGGTGAACTGAGGAGGATGACTGACGGAGAGGTGAAAAGGGAGGTGGAGACAGAGTCTGGGCCCTGGGAGATGGGCTCTGGGCAGCAGGGGATCCCCAGCAGAGGAGAGGACATACAGTTCTGGCCCTAATGTGGGAAGGGCTCTCCAGGTGGCGCCAGTCTGGCCCTGAATGCAGCTCTATCCCAGGGCTGCATAAAGGGTACATTGAGTGCCCCACAGCCCTGCAGGCCCCTCCTGTGCCTGGCTGCCCTCCACCCTCCTGTACCACCAAGGAGGCTTTAGCCTCACACACAGTCCCACTGTCACCAGACCAATGTCTGACTCCGAGGACCTCTTGTCCAGAGTCATGAAATGGCCTTAGCCCACCTCAGTCCTTGTGGTACCATCTAAACCTGTTATCTCCTCACAGACCCCCATTACCCTGCTGGAGATCAGACTCACGCATCTCCAAAAAAGAATTTCTGAGAACCCAGGCGCTGAGACAGAAGGGTCAGGCACTCCCGAGCTTCTTGGTACAGCTAGGGAAGACACAAGGTGGGCTTAGGGCTGTAGGCACAGAACAACGCCCCCTCTCTCAGGCACACCCATTCCTGGCCACATCCCCAGGGCTCATCTCATATGGTAAGCTCCCTGTCCTAGAGGTACCTCCTTCTCCAGTTCCTCCTCATTCTCCGGACTGTGCTCCCCACAGAGCAGCTGCAAACGCTCCATGTATTGTCGCTGCATACGACCGGGCAGGAAGAAGTTGAGAGGAAAGGGCATAGCCTCTGCATACCACTTCCGGGTCACTTCCACATAATTCTTGGCATCTATCCAAAAAGTGTGTATCTGGATTGGGTAGGCAGGAAGGAAAAGGCAAGTCTTGAGCCTGTGTACCTGCATAGCTTAGGGTCGGCCTCTTTCTCCACACTGACTGAGCCTGTGTGTGGTGCCTGATCCCTCCCCTACTGGCCATGAGTGCTACTCACCAGCACTGGGAGAAGCTTCTCTTCCATGAGAGACATGAAGGCCAGCGTGTCTGCCCTTTGCAGGGCTGATAGGTCATAATTGGCGTTGTACTTCTGTGGAAGAAATGTATGTGAGGTGGACATTGGGGGACTCCCAGGGCACTCCAGAGGCATCCTGTCTGGTACCCCCTCACCAGTTACAATTGTAGGGGAAGTAGAGCAAGAAGCTTTTCCCATTGAGGCCCCATGCCTGGCCCAGCCAGTAGCCTGTTGCTGTTGGCAGAAAGCTTGGGTCTTGGAGCCGTCTGGCCCTCAAGGTCCACGCCCACTGGAGGGGGTGGTGGGGAAGCAAGGCCCAGCCACAAACTAGGACCAGCTCCCAGAGTTTCCACAGAAAGCTGGCAGCATGCCTCTTGACAGCAACTTTCTAACAGTAACTTCCCCGATCCAGGAACCACAAAGCTAACGGAGCAAAACGCTGATGCAGGTTGGGCAGCAGTCCTCAAGAACTAGGGGACACCATCCTTAACTCTCCCTGGACCCCCTGAATTGCTGCTCTCTCACTGGCCAGCTTTAGGCTCTTCCTTCCATTGCCTTCCATGGCCCAGGTGCCACCACCACATATACATTCCACCTTTCCCTGAAGGTCTCTGTCTGCCCTACCTTCCCAGGCTCTAGTCTCTGCTCTTTAGCAAACCCCACCCCCCCACACACAGACATCCTATGTAAGCTTTGTCCCCAAATAACCTCTTGAGCATGATTTTTAAATCTCTCTGAGCTTCAGTCTCTCCTTTTAATGCAGCCGTATTAGAAAATAAGGAGCTCTGGTAGCGTAGTGGTTACGAATCGGGCTGCGAACCTTAAGGTCAGCGGTTCGAAACTACCAGCTGCTCCGCGGGAGAAAGATGAGGCTTTCTACTCCCGTAAAGATTTACACCCTCGGAAACCCTGTACAGGGTCGCTATGGGTCGGACCCGACTCGATGGCACTTAACAACAACAACATTAGAAAATAATTTAGAAGAAAACTTTGGAAACTGAAAAAGCAATGTTCATATATATCAATAAAGAATTGAGTGGTGGTACAGCCCCTGCCAAGGATTCTGGCTTTCATATAGATCCTTCTCTTTAAGTCTCTCAAGCTTCCATTAATCCCTCAACTCCCTCCCCTTTAAAACAAGGAAGAAGGTCCCATTTCGAGCAATGTATCCCTTCTTGGAATCACAAAGAATGCTGGAAGAAGCTCTGGACAGAATCTTGGTCTCCGAGAAATTAAGTAACTTGTTCAAGGTCATATAGTAAAATGGCTGAGTGGGGAACACAGACTAGGCTCCCCCATTTCTCCTGGAATACCTTTTCAATTTCCCATGTAAGCTCTAAGGCTGTGTCCATTCTGATCTCAGATCCAGCCCACTCTGGGCCTTAGACATTCCTCTCCTGCCTCACCTTTAAGGGCCTCATCTGAGTCAACCATTCTTCCTGTCTCCATCAGCACCTTAAGCTTAATCTCTGGCCTATACCTTACTGTATCACAGCAACACTATGCATCTCCCCCATCAGACTGTGTGCTCCTTGAAGCACCCAGTTAGTCAGTGCCGTTGAGTCAGTTCCAACACATATCGACCCTGTATAGGGTTTCTGAGAGTGACTGGTGGGTTTGAACTGCAGACCTTTCCTTCAGCAGGCTAGAGTTTATCCTACAGGGCCACACCAGGGCTCTGCCAACTATATGGTGTTCAATAAGTGTGTTCCATTGAATTGACTGAACTTCCCTCACTGGCAGTCCCTCTACCCAATACACCTACCTCTTTTTGAAGGTGAGTGATGATTTTGTGTGGCATCGAGATGACTTCTCCATGACTGGTACGAAGGGCAGGCAGAGTCCCTGACATTGAGAGAGAAATATGCCCACCAGATCCTAACTGCCTTCGAGTAGATTCTGACTCACAGTGACTCTACAGGACAGGGTAGAACAGCTCCATAGGGACCCCAAGGCTGTAAATCTTTATGGAAGCAGCCTGTCTGACCTTTCTCCCACAGAGTGGATGGTGGGTTAGCATCCCAATGTTTTACCCACTCTGCCACCAGGAATCCTTACCAGTCCCTTAAACCCAAACCCAATGCCATTGAGTTGATTCTGACTCATAGCACAGGGTTTCAGAGGCTTTAAATCTTTCATGGAGCAGACAGCCTTTTCGTATCCCACAGATCAGCCATGGGTTTAAATTGCCTGGCAGTTAGCAGTCTAGTGCTTATTCCTACAGAACCACCAGGGCCTATTAATACACAATTGCATCACAATTCTGCATGTCTCTTGCACCCCTCCCTTTGCTCCCTTCCTCACCGACACCCCCCCACCCGCCCACCCCCCGGGGATACAGGTTACCTGAAGGACTCCGCCAGGGATTGGTGATCTTGTGTACCTTGAGTGGGGCACCAGTAAACCTGGCATAGGTCTGCAGGAAAAGAAATAGAAGCCAGGGAATCAAGAAGAGAAACACATTTATTGAATACCTTAAAATGCTCATCCTCTGCTTAATATTTGCCTTGCAACAAGAGACAGATGTTCCCATTTCACAAATGGATTTTGTCCATAAGGTTCAGAATTTATGGAACTGCTCATGATTACAAATACTGCTCTATCAGCCAGGAAAACTCTCCTCCCATCTGTCTGGTGAACATCTATACTCAATAACTTTTCCTAACCAGCATCCTTTTTCAAAATCTGTTCCTACTTCTTAAGTGCTATTCAGTTGGTTCTGACTCATAGAGACCTTTTATAAGGTTTCTGACCAGTAGCTGGTGGGTTTGTACCACCAGCCTTGTGGTTAGCAGTCTAGTACTTATTATCTTCACAGTGCCACACTAGGACTCATGTTCCTAATTAGCCTTTAACATTTATTAGATTTATTTGCATACATAACACCTACAATCTTTCGCTATGAAATTGTACACATCTTGGTAAGGGGCAAGCCTTAACTCATTTTTGCCTGCCAAAATTTGGTATTAGGAAGAGGCCTAACACATGCTTACTGAATGAATGAGTGAATAAAGTGAACTTGGCTGTTTTGACTCCAAAACTTTCTATCGAATCTGTGAGCCTTTTGTTTTAGCAAACAATAGACTGACTCAGTAAACGCTATTTGGCGAGGAGGAGAAAAAAGGGGCTGAGAAAAAGGAAGGGATGTCAAGCCACAAAGCCACAGGAGATGCCCAGCTCGCCCAGAGATCGCCCCAAGGTCACATGGTCACTAACTGGCAGAGCAAAGGCGACAACCCATCTCCTGAGCCTCGACCACGCCTCTTTCTCTTTCTGCACGAAGCCTAAACTGTAAGGCATAGTGCACTGAGCCATGTCTGTTTTGGGTTGGCCTCAGTTTCTCCCAATGCTGAGGAACCTCGGCAAAATCCGGAGGCTCGGCGCGTTTGGACCCCCGCCCCAGTTATCTAGGACGTATCAGAGGGCGCCGGTGTCACTCCTCACCAACACGGTCAGGCTATCCAGGTCCACAGACGGGAGCCCCCAGGCCCCCGACCAGCAGAAGAGCTCCATGGGCGCCGCCATCTTGCCCGCCCTCTGTCCCGGAAGCACCTCCTGCCGCGATAAGGCCCTCCCCGAGGCAGAACCGCCCCTCGCCACCGTCCCTCCCGCCGCTCTGGCCCCAAAGAAGGCGCTGCTTCGCCGGACGCAACAGGCGGCCGGTCGGCGGGGGGCGGGGCCGTGGGCTTCCAGGGTGGGCGACCGCCTGTAGAACCAGAGGTGGTCCCTGGATGGGGGAAGGGCTGCCGGCGAGAAGGACGTCGGAGAGTCACAGCGCCTGGGCCGAGGGGACCCCCGAACCCCCGAAGGCGTGGCAGGCCCAGGAGAGGGGGTACTCTGGCGCCTGGGCTGACCCTCCAGGTTCTCGCAAAACTGCACGTGGCCTGGACTGCTTCGGGGCCCCTCGTGGCCCTTCCCGGAGCAAGGCCTGCGGGGGTGTCCCCCGAGCCGCATGTTTTCCACAGCGCGTTATGTTTGGAGCCGGCCCCGCGCCGCTCGTCGCCATGGAAACAAAACAGGGGCGGTGGCAGCCTAGTGGGGCCTGGGAGGGGGAAGGGTGCTAGGGGCTCGTGAGCTGTTGCCTTGGTGACGGGAACTGAGACGCCCCTCCGCTTCATCCAGGTCACCGCCGCTGGGCCAGTACCCCCAGTGTTTGTTCCTCAGTCGGGCCAGGCTCCTGGCCTACTTCTCTATTCTCTTACCTAATTTATTCACTCCCACCTCACTGACCACTGTTATAGACCTCCATCTGGCTTCCATCTATGCTTACCAGATTCCGCGTGTTCCTTGGAACTAGGGAAAATGGAAGCACACGCACATGTCAAGGGACCCCCCCTCGCCCCCGCCCCAATAAAGAGGACTTGCCCTGTCAGAGCAGTAACTTCATGCCGTGTGGGCATCCCATGAGCACCAAGCAAGCTAGTCTCAGCCACTCCCTTGGCATCCTCTGATGCCAGCTGTGGAACAATGCCCACTGTCTGGCACTGCCTCTGCCAGGGATTCCTGCCTTCCCTAACTGGCTTCTAGAAAACAGTAGCATTCGGTAGTGCTGTGAGTTTAGGCCCCCAGTAAGAGGATGCCAGGGGACAGGCACCTAGAGGAGAGGGACATTAGGGAGGAGCAGAAGGCCAAATGGCCTCCAGGACGCTATCCCAGTGCCTGGTTCTGGTAGCTGGGGATGCCTCCAGGGTGATTGGCAGCTCTTTGTTTCTGCCCCCCCTCACCCGCCTGCCGCCCCCACCCCCCTCAACTCTCTCCTCCATCCCTCCGCCCCCCTCTCTGATTCTCTCCGCCTAGCCTTTTCCCCTCCCAGCGGCCCGCCTGCCAGGGGTAGTGAGCCGGCTGAGCGGCATGGAGACGCAGGAACTTCGGGGGGCCCTGGCTCTTCTCTTTCTTTGCTCTTTCGCAACTGCCAGTCAGGACCTGCAGGGTAAGCCTGTCGCATCCACTTAGGGTCCTCCCCGATACCTCTCCGTATTCTCCTACCTAAGTAGCAGGGAACGTATGGGCAAGGGGAAAGGGTCCTGAAACAGCCAGCGTTAGCCGGCCTAGAGTTGGTGAAATTATGGTCCGGTGAGGAGTGATGGGCATCAGAGGGGGGCGCGGGGTAGGTGGAAGCTGGCCAGGATTAGGCATGAGACTAGTGCAGAGGGCTCAGGAGATGGATGCTGGGGTAGCCTGGCTGGTCTAAGAATTCAAGTTTGGGAGAGGACCCAGGGCTTCTGAGTCCCTGACTCCTGGCTGCCCAAGGATGGGGTGGGGGTGGGGATCAAAAAGTCTGGGCTCTCTCCCGGCGGTCTGGTGGTGGGATGGGCCCATGGGTGTGGAGGAGGTAGTTGGAGCAGATGACACAGACATAGATTCTTTGCTAACTGGACGGGAAACCACAGATTAGCCCTGACACAGGAGACAGAGGAGCTGGGTCCTATAGTCTTATGAGAGCGAGCCCAACCGGTGGGAGGTGCAGCCCTCAGTGGGCAGCTGTTCTCACCCTCAGCAAGTGTTTTGAGCCCCCTAGGATGGGAGGAAGGGAACTGGGGTGTGGAAAGAGCCAAATCTTGCAGTGGAAAGAAGCTGCCCTCCCATTTCTGCGCCGTGGGCACCAGGTGCCATTCCTGCCTGGAATCGTACAGTGACTCCCTTGCGCCACCTGGTGGAGGCGTCTCAAGTTTGCAAAGGCACTGTGTTTCTATATTCCCAAATGAGCTTTATGGGTCCTCAGAGGATGGTAGCCCATTGCCTCAACAAAGATTGAGTGAGAAGATGACTAATGCATCCTGGTGATGGTGGGAGGGGATGATGAGGAATGCCCCACCCTTCAGGGCTCCAGAAGAGGGCAGACCTTAGCATTTGATCTCTTTCTCTGACCTTGATAACCCTTGCCTGCTAGTGATTGATCTGCTGACTATGGGAGAGTCCCGGCAGATGGTAGCTGTGGCAGAGAAGATTCGGACAGCCCTGCTCACTGTTGGGGACATCTATCTCTTGTCCACCTTCCGCCTGCCCCCAAAGCAGGGTGGTGTCCTATTTGGTCTCTACTCTCGCCAGGACAACACACGCTGGTTGGAGGCCTCCGTCGTGGGCAAGATCAACAAAGGTGACTGCTTGGCATTTGCTTTTCTAAAGCAGTGATCCCTGAGCAGCACTCCTACTCCTAGGCCCCTCCTAATTTTCCTGGGGTGCCATTGGGGGCCATGGTCACATCAGGCTGTGCCCAGGAATAGGGCAGGGTGCCTGGTTTGGGGTGCCCAAACACTGGGTGAGGCCTGGTACTTACAGGGAGGATGCTGTACTTGATTTTGCCTGGCAGGTGGTTGAGGTTTCTACAGAAGTGGCAGAGACCCCCCCCTCAAATCTCTGGCATAGTTCAGTGGGTACAGAACCAGCTGCCATCATGGGGATGGGGAGAGAGAGCTGATGTACTGAATAAGAAAATTCTAGTCTAAACCAATTTTTTAAAAAACAGTATGTAGCTGTTATATTCATATAGGTGAATACGATATGGTAGCCTAGAGACGTATCCAGGAAAAATCAATCCAAGGCTCAAATAGGAGCCATACTGACCTCCCTTCCTGGGCAGTGCTGGTGCGGTACCAGCGAGAGGATGGCAAAGTTCACGCAGTGAGTCTACAGCAAGCAGGCCTGGCAGATGGGCGTACACACACGGCTCTCCTGCGACTACGAGGTCCATCCCGACCCAGCCCTGCCTTGCAGCTCTATGTGGACTGCAAACTGGGTGACCAGCACTCTGGCCTTCCAGCACTGGCCCCTATTCCTCCAGCGGAGGTTGATGGGCTGGAGATTAGGACTGGACAAAAGGCTTATTTGAGGATGCAGGTGAGTATGAAGGGAAGATGCTATTTCTGGGGAACCAGGATTTGCTCCAGTCTAAGGAGTCACTTCACTGGTAGGTCTTCCTTCTCTGCTGTGTTCCTATCATACCAGGGCTTCATGGAATCTATGAAGATGATTCTGGGCGGCTCCATGGCCAGGGTCGGGACACTGAGTGAGTGCCCGTTCCAAGGGGATGAGTCCATCCATGGCGCAGGTAACACAGCCGCTGGTTAGCTGATGTTCTGGACACCAGATCCTTCATGTGGTCTGCAGTGGCCGTCATCCCTTGACCTCCCTCCCCCTTAGTACACATTCCTTTTGCTCACCCATTCCTGGGCTCTCAGGCCTTTTACTCGTAATCTCCATCTCTGACTCTATCTCCATATTCAGCCATCCCAGCACTGTAGGATAAACACTGGACTGCTAACCACTAGGTCAGCAGTTCAAACTCACCAACTGCTTCTTGAAAACTATACAGTTGCTATGAGGCAGAATCGACTCAAATGGCACTTAACAACAGGAGGTGTAGGCCACAAAAATCTCCCACCTTAGGACATCCTGCCAACCAAGGTGGCCAGGAAAACAGAGCATCGATCTCCAATCTGTATCTGTCTGCAGTGGTCACATTCTACCAGAAGCAGCTCTGAGACTTACCTATCACCTGTCCGCTAGGCCTGTCTCCGTAGCAGTTTTCAGAGGCTCTTAACTAAGTCAAAGACTTCTCTCAGATTTTTCGCGGAAAGAGCTTAGCTCTTAAGGGGTGGAGGAAGTGGAAAGTGTTGGGGTCCTGTCTTGCTTTGGATTGCCTCTCATGCAGACTCCCCTCTCATGCAGACTCCTCTGCCACTACCATGTTAGAGAGCCAGGATTCAGGTTATCTCTGAGGCAGCTCTCCTAGGCCTCTTGCCCAGCTGGACAGAGTGGGTGCCGCTTGCCTGTTATCTTTGTCCTCTTGCACTATCTTTATTCTGAGGCTCCAGCCCTTTGTCCTTGACCCTCTTACTCCTTGCTGGCTTAACCTCTCTGCATATCTCCACATCCTGACTGTTTTCTTCTCCTCTCCAGTGACCAGTGTGCTCCACTCCATCCTCGGTGAGTGGACCATGGGGAGATGGAGGGAGCTAGGGGAGGGGAGGAGATCCCAGGCTTTAGCAGCTGCCTGAAACTTCCTCTTCAGCCAGGATGAGGGTGGGGCTTAAAGGTAGGGCGGTGGGCAGCAGTGGCCAGGAGCTGGCTTGTGGCAGGGAGGGGTCAAGGCTGTTGCAGCCATTCTGAGTCTCTCCACACCCTGGGCCCTGACAGGGGAGCAGACCAAGGCGCTGGTCACTCAACTCACCCTCTTCAACCAGATCATGGTGGAGCTGCGGGATGATATTCGAGACCAGGTCCGGGTGGGCCAGCATACGGTGGCAGTGATTCTGGGGTGAGGTGGCAGATGCCGAAAGCTGACTTCTCTCCCCACTTCTATCAGGTGAAGGAAATGTCCCTGATCCGAAACACCATCATGGAGTGTCAGGTGTGCGGTGAGTGGGAGAGTGGGTCAGGGCTGCAGGTGGCATTGCTGTGCTTTCCACCTCATGGCTTCTGCTCCCCCTGTGGGGATGTGACTGGTGCCCTCTGACTATGCCTACCCACCAGGCTTTCATGAGCAGCGATCCCACTGTAGCCCCAACCCCTGCTTCCGAGGTGTGGACTGCATGGAAGTGTACGAGTACCCTGGCTACCGCTGTGGGCCCTGCCCCCCTGGCCTGCAGGGCAACGGCACCCACTGCACAGACATCAATGAGGTAGGGGGTTACAGATTAGTAGGGACCCAAGACAGTCGAGTGAATGGTGACGGGAAATGGAGGCACCTGGGGTATAGGAAAGGTTGGAGACTGAGATGGAAGTGTAGGAAGGGAGGGAGGCGAGGGAGACTGGGGTGGGAATCTGGAGCCAGGAGCACAGGTTAGGTGGGGAGAGCGACATAAAAGAAGATCAGGAGCAAAGGTTGTAGGGAAAATGTTCTCAGAAGCAAGTCTCAAGAGTTTCCCTGAGACACGGTCTAAACTCTTGTCTTTTTATCTGGCCCCCAGTGTGCTCATGCTGACCCCTGCTTCCCAGGTTCCAGCTGCATCAAC